TTAAGGAGAGAGGGTGAGAGATGGACTGGAACTCGAGAAGGTCATCTGGGAAGGTTTCCTGGAGTTGTGGCCCAGCCTTCCCATCATGCCTTGGAGTGAAGCTAAGATTCTCCCCTTCAGATTCCAAACCCTGTCCTGGATCCCCTGCTCAGAGAGTCCCTGCCTGTCTCCCCAAGGGCCACAACCCACCCGAGAGCCCAAGCCAGCCTGGGATGTGCTGACTAGAACATTCATCCAGCAAATATGTATGAAGTCCCTGCGTTATCCCAGGCCTGCCAGCTCCACAGGCCAGGCCTCAGGCCAAATGGAGAGCAGAACAAGGAGAGGGCACTGAAACTATGACACAGGGATGCCATTCCAGTAAGGCCACCCAGCCAGACTACAGGGCGAACCCACACGCCTCTCCTTCGTGCAAGGCTGAGAGACTGGGGAGCCTGGGGCCAGGATTCCAACTCCTAATGGGCAGGAGACATGAGAAGGACAAGCAAACAGGAAGACAGAGAGAGAGGCAGGGCAAGACAGCCAAAACACACAAAGGAAAGAGGCAGATCAGAGGTTGGGAGGGAGGGAGTGAAAAACAGAAGGAAGGAGAAGAGATAACGAGAGAGAGAAAGAGAGAGGAGAGTGCTAAATTAAGCGTCCTCTTCCTTGGAATGAAAACTACCCTTTGCTCTTTTGAGGACCAATCCCAGAGGCCTCTGAGCATCCCACCCCAAGTTCCTCCCCATTTCTTACCTCTGCCCTTCCCCTCCTCTGCCCTTTCCCTGCCTCCTGGGTGATCAGGGTTGCATCTTACTACCAGTTACAGGGGATCAGAGGAAAAGGGGGAAGGCTTAAAATGGAGAGAGGAAGACCTGAGGCTTCAGTCTCTGGACCACATGAGGACCAACCAGGACAGGAATCCAGAGAGGTAACAAGTTGCCCAGATACCATCTCCAGCTGGAGTCACCCAAGCTGATGCAGGGCCAAGGTTTTTCCCCACGTGAAGCACCAAGCAGTTTTGCTTCTTAGGACATTCAGGAGGGACTTGGGGACTGCCCATGACCTTCCTTCCATCTCCTGTCCCCTATCAGGCTCCCTGCTCCCCTGCAGGGGCTGAATCTCTGGGTGGCTCAGGCTCTGTACCAAGGCCAGGAGGGGTTTGTGGTGACTCTCACCTGCTGGGGTAGACAACCCCTGCTCACAGGCAGGGGCCTGGACTAGATGACTCCCAAGGAGGCCAATTCCGGGGTAGAGGGAGCCATGGGTGGAGCTAAGTGAGGGGAGGAGGCAGGGGACAGGGAAGGGGGAAGAAGGAGGTAGGGCTGGGTGGTTCTGTGGAGTTTTGTTTGTTTGGGGCTTTTTTGCTGGCTGGTCTTGTTTGGCAGCCAGAGCTGCGGCTACCAAAGACACCTCTAAAACTGTACCCAAGGGAGACTCACCACCCAGAGGGGGAGCAGCAGGCCGGGACCGTGTCCCTCTCCCCAGGCCAGAGCCCCACGCCAGCATACCCTCGATTCCTCCAGAAAAGCAAGGCCACCCCCAAGGAAGGGCCAGTGCTCAGCCCCAGAGATAGGTCCGGCAAAGCTGGCCTCAAAGCCAGGGACTTGGCAATTGACCATGACCTGTCAAAACTCAGGGGCTACTTCATCAGCCTGAGATCAGAAGAACTAGATGGTACCCAGCTACCACAATGACCACCCTGACAGGGAACACAACAGAGAGTCCCTGACAGAGCAGGAGAAAAGTGGGGTGCAGAACTCAAATTCTAGTAAAAAGACCAGACTTAATGGTTTGACTGAGACTGGAGGGACCCCGGAAGACATGGCCCCCAGACTCTCTGTTAGCCCAAAACTAAAACCATTCCCGAGGCCAACTCTTCAAAGATTAGACTGGACTGTGGGACATAAAATGATACTCGTGAAGAGTATGCTTCTTAGCTCAAGTAGATACATGAGACTAAATGGGCAGCTTCTATCCAGAGGTGAGATGAGAGAGCAGAGAGGGTCTGGGGCTGGTTGAATGGACACAGGAAATCTGGGGTAGAAAGGAAGAGTTGTGCTGTCACAGTATAGGGACAGCAACTAGGGTCACAAAACAATGTATGTATAAATTTTTGTATGAGAGACTAACTTGAATTGTAAACTTTCACTTAAAGCACAACAATCAAAAAAAGAAAACTTCAGTGGCTTAAAAAAAAAAAAACTCAGGGGCTGACTGAGGCCTGCAGAAGTCACCAAGAAACAGCAGACTTAGGAGAAATTATGCATTCAGGAATGGTGATGGTTGAACAACACGACGAACATATTTAATGTCACTGAACTGTACATGTGAAGATTGTTGAAACAGAAAATGTTTTGTTACCGACGTTTACCAACAACAAAAAAATTATGTAGAGGTGCTTATGAGAATTAGGCATCCAGCTAAAAGAAAATTAGGGTGCAGGGCTGCCCTAAACGGAGCCCCAACAGTAAAAAGATGGCTTCCTTTTCTACCCCACCGCCCGTTCCAGGAAGGAGCCCCAGTGGCACAATGGATAAAGCACTCAGCTGCTAACCAAAAGGTCAGCAGTTCAAACCCACAAGCTGCTCCGCAAAAGAAAAGACTTGTCGATCTGCTCCTCTAAAGATTACAGCCTAGGAGACCCAATGGGGCAGTTCTACTTTGTCCTACAGGGTCACTCTGAGTTGGAATCGACTTGATAGCAAACAACAACAACCCTTTCCAGGGGTCACAAAACTCAGAGGCTAAGAGTAAGGGCTCAGAAATCCAATTATCTAGGTTCAAGTCCATCATGAAGAAATTGTGTGACCTTGGTCCAGACATTTAACCCTTCTGAGGCTCAGTTTGTTCCTCTGTAAATTGTGGATGTTGAGAATGAAAGCATCTACTTCATATGATCGTTGTTTTGAGGATTAAAGTTGCTAATCCATGTAAAGCATTTGGGACATACTTGGCATATCTGCTGTTATTTTGACATGAGCAGACCCACATGCCGTTCCTGCCCCCTCCCTTCCCCACGGAGTGCACAGGGGTGGCTGGCATGGAGGAGGGCACGGTGCTGTGTTTGACCATATGCCATTAGGCTACCAGGTCAAGGTAAAGGTGCTGGGAGCCTGAGGTGGGCCATGCAGGTGGATGTTGAATCGGGGAGGGGCAGCATGTGTCAGAAGTGGGACACAGACACCATGGCAGTGACCCAGTCACCCAGAAGTGGCTCGCCAAGCCATCCCCAGCATCAGCTCCTCCTGTGGCCTGGTGAGCCAGAAACGCTCAGTGTGAAGGGAAAAGGCCTGGACCGGGAGCTAGGAGGCCTGGGGTGGGTTGTATGACTCATCAAGTAGCTCCCCCTCTCTAGGACTGTCTTTTCTTCCGGCCCCTGAGACGGGTCAAGATCCCTTCCATCACTGACCACCCGAGTCTGTCCCAGTCAAGCTCCTCTCTCTGCTGTGGCCCCCAGCCCAGCCCGGGCTTGGGAGCCCATCCCCCTGTGCAGCCCAGAGTGGTGTGCCTGTCCACGGAGGGCACACAGAACCACCCGCCAAAGCAAGAGCATCCGGAGAAATCAGGCCAGGGTTGGGGAAGAGGCTGGACACTGGCAGAAGGCAGAGCCAGAGAGCTGGCAACTCTTCTGATCAACCCGGAAGGTCCCCTGGATGTGGAAGAGTGGGAAAGCAGGGGAGCGTGCTCTGGGCTGGCTGAGCTGCTGCCCCTCAGAGACTCTGTGGGAGAAAAATGGTGTCTCTCCTATTTCTACCTCATATTTCAGATAAAAGAGGGGAAAGAGATAGAGAAGAGAGGAAGGAGGGCTGGAAAGTAGGGAGAGAGAGGGAGCCCTTGAGCAGAGGTGCATTTCATCGTGTGCCTATCTCCCCCAGAGACACAGCTCCCGGAGGGCAGCACCCGGTCTTGTTGCTGTTGTTAGGTGCTGTCAAGTTGGTTCCAACTCATAGCAACCCTATGGGACAGAGTAGAACTGCCCCATAGGGTTTCCAAGGAGCAGCTGGTGGATCTGAACTGCCGACCTTTTGGTTAGCAGCCAAGCTCTTAACCACTGCACCACCAGGACTCCCACCCAGTCTTAACAACGATTTATTTACTGAGGCCAACTCTGTGCCTGATACTTCGTACCTATGTGCTAAGCATACACTGTTACCTGTGAGGTGGGTATTTTTATTCCCATTTTACAAATGAAGACAAAAGTCTGCCTGAGGTCATACCAATAGTGAGCAGACAGTTCAGTCTGGAACTCAGGTCTCACCTTTCAAAGCCAAGGGCTCTTGGCTGTGACCATCTTTTCCCCTCCAGCCTAAGACAGTGGGCTGCACATAGTAGGTGCTCAATAAATGATAGTTAAAATTGATCAAAGGAAGGGAGGGAAGGAGGAAGAGAGGAAGGAAGAAAATAGGGAAGATAAGCCAGGGAGACTCTTTGGCAAGTAGAAAATAAATAATAAATGCGCTGTTTTCCAATGCCAGGGCGGCACAGTGCCCCGGACAGCTGCCCTACACTCCAGGAGCTCAGGGCTGTTTCTTGCCTCATCTTTTCCAGAAGTATGTGAGCCCAGGTACGTAAGCCTTCAGGTATGCAGCTGAGGTTTGCAGTGAGAGGCGCTCTCTCTCTATTCTCTTTCCTTGTTGAATCCACCCTTCCTCTTGCCTCCCCCTCTACCCTCCTACCCACCCAGCCAGCCCAGCCTCAGCCCTCCTCCCCTGAGACAGGTCAGGCTTAGCTGGGGGGCTTGTGCACAGCCCCCTCAGCCAGGCAGATCCCCTGCCCTGGAGAGGGATCCAGCACGGTGCTGGGGAGGGGCGGGAGCACTGCATCATCTAACTGGTTGGTCGGGCTGGGAGGCGCCCCGCCCTCCCTGAGCTAATGAGCACCGTGTGACAGGTGTTCACTCCTCAGTCCCCAGCCTGGCTGGCTGTGACCAGAGCCAATTGCTGCCCCTCCAAAGCTCGCTTGCTCGCTTGCTCGCTTGCTCGTCCAGCGCCCTCCCCGCTCCCGGGCCAGGGGACACGATGGCTTGCCGCTCCTGTGTCGTTGGCTTCAGCAGGCTCAGCAGCTGTGAGGTGACTCCAGCAGGCGGCCCCCAGCCTGGGACCTCGGAATGGGGCAGCTGTGGGGCCAGCGGGCTGGGCTTCAGCTCCCGCAGCCTCACAAGCTGCCAGCCAATTAGCACCATCCCCAAGGTGACCTTAAACCCCAGCCTGCTGGTGCCCCTGGACCTGAAGGTGGACCCAGCTCTCCAGCAGCAGAAGACCCAGGAGAAGGAGGAGATGAAGATCCTTAATGATAAGTTTGCCTCCCTGATTGGCAAGGTGAGCAGAAGAGGTGGGGGGTCCCAAAACTAAGGACTGTCAGTCCGGGGCATGTGGCTAAGCTGTGTATTCCCTGAGCATCTTGCCTCACCCACACTCCCAGCCAATGAGGAGTCAGCATGGGCCTCTGCAGGCTACTCTGAGCAAACAATTGGGGAGGGGAGTTTCTGATCCATCCCGGCATTGGGAGAGAAAAGGGCCCAGGTGGCCTCTGAGGGACGTCTGGATAATAACGTTCGGCATGGCCTGGGGTGCCCCCCTAGGCGTGGACCAGCAAAGAGCACCTGAGTGTGGCCAAGGGGATACCCCCTTACTGGACCAACTGATGGAGGCATGGTCTGCAGTCCTACTCCAAGGCAAGTGGACAGCAGAATTGACCTCCCAAGAGTCCACCCTTATGTCCATCACTCAGGCCACCAGGTCTCTGGCCCTGTAGAATCTCTCCCAAGGTGGCTCTGCTCAGCTTCCCGGGGGTAGGAAGCGCAGGCAGGGCCCGGGGGCATATGGGGTGGCCTCAGGAAGGAGGATGCAGTTTTGGCGCATCAGAAGATAGGAATGCAGGAGATGGATGCCTCAAGTAGGAAACAGACAGCTGCCTCTTCCTCCTCCTCCACACCCCACCAGAGTAGAGGCAGTGAGTTTTCAGAACCCCACTCCCCATGCTTCCTAGACCCCACTGCCCACAGCCTGCATGCTGTCCATCTCTGCCTCCAGGGTAAGAGCCACAAGAGCTCCCTAGGGACCCTGTCCACCTCCCAAAACTGCTCCTCACTCACCTCCTCCAAGAAGCCTCTACTGACCATCCTCCCAGCTCTGCTCCCTCCAGCCCTACCCAAAACAATAATCAGAGTAGTAACAGCTACAGTTGATTAGTTGCTTCCTATGTGCCAGAGGTGGGTGACATATTTATCTCTATTTCCCTCAGCAACCTTATGAAAGTAGACATTTTATGTCCATTTTACAGATGAGGAAAACTCAACCTTTCTCATCTGCACAGTAAACCAGAGCCTTCCAAGCCCTGGCTCAGCCCTTGATGGCACCTTGGTCTCTGGGATTCTGTGTTCCTCTGCAGGTTGCCAGTCTCCGGTATTAGGTGGGAGCTCGCAGAGAGGAGCAGAGGGAGGGAGAGCCAGGGGCAGGAATGTAACCTTTCTTGAGCATCAGTTTGTGCCTGGTTCTCTGCAGGAATTTTACCAATGTGAAGTAACTGAGCCCACCCAGCAATACTCTGGCTGTTATTTTCCTCACTGTGCAGATGAAGAAACCGAGGACCAGAGGGGTTAAGTGCCTTGCCCAAGGTCACACAGCTGGCAAGTGGTATAGTCTGCATTTAGACTCAGGTCTGTGAGACAAAAAGCCAGTAGTCTCTGAGGTGGGAATCATTTATTTTCCTCTCCCACTCACATGCCCACGCCAGTTTCTTCATCCACCCTCGGGGTGCCTGGGGTGGGGTGTGTGGAGGGGAAAGACTACCTGGAGAAGGACGGCTGTGCACTGAGGGGAGCATCCCGTCCCCCGACACTGGCTGCCCAGAGCCCCAGACTGCTGCCCTGGTTTTCCCTGCAGAAAACCCTGCAGCCATCACCATTGGGAGGCAGGGAGGCAGGTTCCTACAGAGCCGCCTCCTCTCCAAACCTAGCTTAATCCCTTAAAAGGAATGCTTCACTGAGCTATGTAATTTGACTCTGAGGAGTGGCTTTTCTCCCTCGAATGTCAGTGCTGATATCATCCTGTGCCTCTACCATGGGGATGGCAGCACAAGGAGGGGCGCTAGGCCAGGGGTCCTGTGTCCGGGAGTCAGCACTATGCCCTATAAAGTCTTTAGCAGGATCAGAACCTCCCAGCCCTCAAGCCTTGGCCTTGGTATTGGGGTGCCTTTCATGGTGGGAACTCAGGGAGCAGTTGGTGCCAGCCATTTGGGAGCCCTGGTTGCTGGGGCACTGTCACCAGGAGTCCCAGATGACCCATCAACTCTACAGAGAAGGTCTGTTAGCTCATTTTGCATCCTCCCTGTCTCTGTAAGGTCATCAACAGCCTGGGTGGAAGCAGGCAGCCGTTAAGAGTATGAAATCTGGAGTCACGTGTCTGAGTTTGACTCCTGCCTCCCTAACTGAACAGCTGTGTAATCTCAGGCAAATTGTTTAACCCCTCTGACTTCAGTACACACTGGTATAATGGGCTTGTCAAAATCAAATGGGATCATTTTTGAAAAGCACTTAGAGCACACCTGGTACGTGGTGTTCGTTAAATAAATAATAAATTAAATAGACCCTGGCCCAGGGAGCTACTAGAACCCCATGAGCCTCTTCCAGGCAGGAGCCTGGAGAGGAGGGGAGGGAGCGGGCCTTGCTGGAGGAAGGAGTGGCTGGACTTTGTGGGTAGGGGATGCAACGTGGGGGCCCAGAGGTGAGAGGCCATGACGCCTGCAGGGCTAGGGGCTCTAAGCAGAGAGGCAGGGGGCACTAAGGCTCCGCCTCCCTTTCTTGGCCCTCTGAGGCACTGGCAGAAAGAAGAGAGAACCGAGGAGAAGAAGGAAGAGGGGGGAGACTTCTGCAAGATGGCCGCAGGGCCCTGCAACAGTCTTGGCTCTGTCACTTGCTGATTGTGTGTCCTTTGCCAAGACACTTACCCTCTCTGTGCCTCCGATTCCTCCTCTCTGCTTGGCGTCTGTTCTGAGGGTGGCCCTGAGCTCATGCCAGTGGAAGGGCTGGCAAGGCTGCACCCTGAAAGAAGGGCGTAGAAGAAGCAGCAGCAGGAGGGTCCTCAGGAGAGGAGGCCAAGGAAGGCAGGGCAATGGCTGGGCCCCTCCCTTCACTTGCAGACAGCAGAGGGCAGAGGAGATAGAGGTGGGAGAGGAGGAAGGACTGCCCAAGGTCAGCCTAAGGAGCCTAGAGAGGGAACCCAAGGGAGGGACGGTGGAAGGTCTGGAGACAGAGAGATGGAGGCAATTTTTGTCCCTAGGCCTGAGTGACCTGGGGAAGTCAATGGAGCCATCCTCCTACCTGCAGGCAGGAAGGCACAAATCAGCCTTTCTGACTAAGAGATTAGGGGTCTTCCTGGGCAAAGCCAACCTCTGGCTAAAGGCCACCTGAAGGATAGGACCTGCATGTCCAGAGGCACTGCCCTCTAGGCTCACCTGCCTGGACTTCCCATGGGTTAGGGACCTGAAGCCACTCTTGCTGCATCTGGCCTCCCTCCTTCAAGGAGGCCCCCAGCCAGGACCTCCAGCCTGGGCTACTCAATTCCCTCCCCAAAGAGCACATCTCTCTCCACAACCCTGCCCAGGCCTGGCCCTGCCTCTCAGCTGGGCAGCCCAGCACCATGCAGTTGGGCCACAGTGAGTTCTGTGCCTCCAGGCCTCCATTTTCTCATTTGTAAAATGGGGAGCCAGATTCACCATTTGCTGTCTGAGGTCCCTCCTAGAGCTGCCACTGTGTGATCTAAGGTGGGGGGGGGGAGGAACAACCGAAACAGAGAACAGAGAGACAGAAAAATGCGTGGTGAGAGCTCGGAGGCTTTGACAGGTTAGAGGTGATTAGCGTGGCACATCTCAGGGTGCCTGGATTAGTAGCCCTCCCTAAGCCTTTGTTCCAAGAGGGAGGAGCCTTCCTGCAGGGAAGGTCCTGGGTGGGGGATGAGTTTCCATCCCCCACCCACTGAGACAACAAGTGAGTCCCCCAGGGGCAGCAGGAGATAAGGGGGTACCCCTGATCCCCCAAGATCAAAAATGCCCTCTGGCTGAATTGGCTGGCCAAATGCACATTATCTCCCAGTGGGCTAGTGGTGAAACATGGGGGATTGAGGTTAGACAAAGAGAAGAACTTCCTGGTGTGAAGGCTTTTCTGCTGCTCATGGGTGGAAGAAGGAGCCTTGCATCTCTCCTCTCACTCCACCCTCAGTGTAAACACAGGGCTCCTGATTGTCAAAACGTTGGGAAAGTGGGGTGAGTAGATACTCCCCCCCAGTGCTCCCTCTCACACACACAAAACAGGGCAGAAACCATCTTGACCTCCATCCTTACTGAACCTGTTTGGCTGCAATGGCGGCAGACGGTAAACTGAAAGTCAGCTTCACGCAGAACTTACTTGTACGGCTGGAAGTTAAGCGGGGGAATGATAGCCCACAGAGGCCATCGTCACATTTCTGCTGCTGTTGTCTGTTGCAAGTGTCAGAGGGGACTTCCCAAAGTCATCAGAGCTTCTGAGGGGATACAAAGAAAACCTGAGGGTGTGGGGAGGGCAGAGAGAGAGGGAAAGGCCCCACCGGGCACCCCAGTTCAGGTCCAGACTGGGCAGCAGCCAGCAGGTGGGCCTGTCTAAGGAGCTCTGCCACCAAGCTGCTGTGTGTGGCGCCCTTGGGCCTCCATCCCCTCCTCTGTAAAGGAAGGGTTTGGGGCAGCTGGTCCAAAGGCTCCTGGCAGCTCTCTTCAGCTGTGATTCTGTGAGCCTGCGCCAGCAGCACCAGCAGTGTGCAGGAAGAGGCCTGGCCTGGCCTAGCCTGCAATCACAGGGAACATTATCAGGTTCGCTATCACAGCATCCTCATCACAACAACAGCCTGAGCTGCCCAGGATTCAGGCCCCTCCCACCCCAGTGGGGTAGGGACCCTGAAAGGGGGAATAGATGGTCCCCAGTCTGACGAGGAGAGATGATGGGCCAGGACAAATTAGAAGCAGATAAGCGGAGGACCTCATTAGTGGGGGGAGTCTTCCCAGCTATTAGTCAGGGAGGGCTTCCCGCAGGAGAGCCGGGAGCACAGAGGGGGAGGTGCAGGCCGGACTGGAGCGGTGGAGGAAGGCTGGAGCCTGCAGAGGTCAGGGAGAGTAGAGGCAGGGGAGCCTGAGGCTGAGCTGGACTGGGCTGGGTGCTGGCGGTGGGCGAGGACTCAAGAGAGACCCTGACAGCCTGGCGTTGGTTGTAGTGTGGTCCATGGGCCCTGGGAGCCCCCGCAGGAGTGTGAGCAGGACAGCGTGAGTGAGGTGGAGTTTGAGAGGAGCAGCAGTCCTCAGAAGCCCTCCCAGTCTTCACCTTCAAGGCATGAGCCAGCCCAGAAAGGGTAGCTGGGGTCCCAGTGGCCTCAGTAACTCAAGCAACAGACAGGCGGCAGACGCAGAGAGGCTAAACCCAAACTGCCTGGATTCTTGTCTGTAACATGCAGATAATAATCATGGCTACTCCATCGGGTTGTTCCAGGGACTTAAATGAGTTAAGAACAACATCTGGCACACAGTAAGTGCCACATAGATGTTTGCTAGTATTATTATTCTAAAGTACATCCCAGTTCTTCTCCTAACAGCCCTCAGAGGTAAGCAAGACAGGTGATATCATCCCCAACTTCTAGCTGGGGAAACTGAGGCTCAGAGAGGCACATGCAAGTCCAAGGTTGTTGGAAGGATTAGAACTTAAGTCCCAACCAGGCCCTATGCTGCCGACTTTCCAAAACAAGATGAGACCAGGCTTGTTGGGGGGGTGGGGCAGAAAGGCCTGTGACACCCCATGTTCCCTGGGGTCTCCCACCCAAGCCCTAGGCAGGCATTGAGAACCTTCACATTGTTGGAGCTCAAACCTGAGTTCCCCCTCCTATCATCTGCCCTGCCTCTCCCCTAGGAAACCTTTGCTCATTTTCATGGCTCCACTTCTGTCTGAGTCCCTCCTTATCTCACCATCTTCAGCTGCAACAATTGGTAGTTGGAGATTAGTTCTGAATGCACTGAGTGAGGGCCAGGGTGGGTGTGTGAAGATGAGCTGCCACTTCTCAGAGAGGCCCCCTCCGGGGCCCGGGGCCTCAGCTCCCAACCCGGCCGCACCTGGCCCTCTCACTGCCACCTTCCTGCTCTCCCAGGTACAAGCCCTGGAGCAGCGCAACCAGCTGCTGGAGACCCACTGGAGCTTCCTGCAGGGCCAGGACTCTGCTGCCTTCGACCTGCGGCCCCTCTTCGAGAAGCACCAGGGCCGGCTGCAGGAGGAACTGCGCAAAGTGAGCCAGGAGAGGGGACAGCTGGAGGCCAACCTGCTGCAGGTGCTCCGGAAGGTGGAGGAGTTCCGAATCAGGTAGGCCACGCCCTCTCATGGCCACATTAAGACCTGGGTCTGCTCAGGGACAAAGGGTGGGGACCAGCCGGTACAAGTGAGAGGTGTGGGGCACAGAGACAGAGGAAAGGAGATACGGAATGTTTCTTGACTCCAAAAATACTTATTGAGGACCTACTATGTGCCTGACAGTATTCTACATATTACAACCACCACCCCAAACAGTGACCCTTGCTGCAAAGTCAGTCTTGTGGCTGGTTCACAGCTAAGCACTGCGCTTGCTAACCCCTGGGCACCATCCGAACCCATATCCCCTGACTCAAACAGCCCATTCTCTGGTGCCCATAAACCAGGGCTTCCAAATGGTTTGTTCCCATTCGAACCCCTACTGAGAATTTTCATTTCAACCCCAGATATACTGAATCAGAATCTACATTTTAACAAGATCCCAGGTGATTCTTATGTATGACAAATTTTGAGAACCACTGCTCTACTGGTTATCCTCAGAATTGGTCCCTAACCAGCAGCATTAGCATCACCCGGGAACTAGTTAGAAATGCAAATTCTCAGCAGGGGTTCCAACCGGGACGAACCGGTTCAAAGTCCTGTCATAAACATGCCTGCTCTTGCCCAAGGTCCCACTAGTGATGGGAAATTATGTTACCAGCTGGAACAACAGATGGGCTTCTGTTTTGGATATGGCTTTGGATCCTAATCAAGTCTGGGCTAGAAAGGAAGGGGAACCTGCTGGGGTGCAGGCAAGGGATAGAAAGGGTGGATTTTCTTCAAATAAAGAGGCGATCCCTTACAGGTAATATGTGCCAAGCATCGAGGCAGACTTTGGAACTAGAGAGGTGAGGAAAACACAGCCCCAGCCTGCAAGATGCTTTTACAAGTTACTGGGGAAGACAGACCGGTAGACAATGAGCTGGCAGGCAGTGTGGCCCGTGATGAAGGGCACAGGCTTGAGTATTGACTAGAAAGGGTTAATCCTCCGTCCCTAGCCCTTACTAGCTTTGTGACCTTGGGCAAGTTGCTTAACATCTGCACCTCGATTTCCTCCTGTGTAAATGCGTATGATGATGGTTGGTACCAATTTAAGGCTGGTATAAGGAGTAAGTTGCGAGTTCAGCCTGGCAGTTATAAACAGCAGCTCTCCTAGTCCCTAGAAGGCTAAAGGTCATGGCACACAGTAGGTGCTTGATGCGGGTTTGCTGAACTGGATCGGCCAGTCTAGAGGCAGAGTAGGCACTTGGATTGCTCCAAGGAGATGTAATCCTCTGGCTGGGCAATGGGCAGGGCTTCAGAGATAAGAAGGCTGATGGCAGAGCTGAGGTTGAGCAGCCAGGCTGTGTTCACACTTCCTTCTTGGGCCTGGTCTCCTTGGGAGGAGGCCCCTGGCCAGTGTGAGGGGAGGGCAGGGTGTGGCCTAGTCTCCTACCTCCTCCAGCTCTGGGCCCAGCCTCAAGCCCTACTGACCAAGTGAGGCCCACACCTCCAGAACGGCTGGGAGTCTCTGAGCCAGCCAGGCAGGGTTGGAGAGTAGGGGCAGCCTCCCCCGGGAAGTCCAGGGCTCTGGGCTCCAGCTCAGCTTGCCCACCACCTCTCCTGCTCAGGCCACACTCGGGATCAGAGGAAATGGTCACATGGGAAGCCCTCCCTGTTCAGTGGGCCTCAGTTTCCTCATCTGTGGAATGATCTGGCCAGAACCTCCCAGCCAACAGGCATGATCTACAGCCTGGCTTGGGCTGGCCCCCATGACTTGGCCCCTCCCTGACCTGGGGGCCACCTCTCCACCAGTTGCGCCCTCCCAGGGGCCCTACGGAAACACACAGGGAATCTATCTGATTGTCTGTTCTTCCCCACACCTGACCATGAAGAGGGGCAGCCCATCAGCTCACGAGATCCCACGACTCATTTCACTGCTACCTACTAGGTTTTTGACCCTCAAGGGACCAGAGAATGGCAAAGCTGGAGGGGGCCTTGGCTCCTCCTGTTATAAGGAAGGAAACAGAGGCCCAGAGAGGGCGGGGCTTGTCCTCTGTCACACAGCATGTGTGCTAACTCCTATCTATCTCGAAGCCTAGCCAGCCACCAGGAAGGCTGCTTCTGTGCGCCTGGCCTGATCTTGTTGATGGGAGCACTTTGTACCTGGAAGTTCTGTACAAATACTACTTGTTATTTTAATCTGGCTCAGCCCCCTCATTTGGCCTGCTGCCCGGTTTCCATTGCCTGCTGCCTGCTTACTGTTTAGGCTCAGGGCGTCTCTTTCCCCCTCTGGGGAAGGAACCCACTGGAGTACAGGGAGGAGACACTGGACCTGGGAGCAGGGCTGGAGGGCTTCGGGGTCTGCAGGCAAGAACTGGGAGGCTGAAGCTGGGCTTCCCGGAGCTTGGAGCCCCCAGGAGCCAGGAGGCACCAGGCCAAGCCCTGGCAGGGAGGTGCTACGCCCTGCCTCGACAAGGCGATGAGATCAGCCTCGCTCCCAGAAATAAACAAGGCGGGGGGGCGGGAGGTGTGACAAGCTGAAAAGGGCCTGAGAACGGGTTTAGGAGCTGGTGGCTGGCAGACTAGCAGAGGACTGGGGGTGGTATGGGGGAGATGGCATCATCTAGGCCTCTATGGGGACAGAGACTTCCAAAGGCTTTGAGGAGGCAGGAACCCCAAGGATCAGCTAGTTAAATCCTTCTGTTTACTAAGGTGAAAGCAGAGGCCAGCAAGGGGAAGCAACTTGCCCAAGGCCACACAGCAAGTGATTCAGGGACACCATGTACAGTTGCGCAAGCTGTTCACTACACAAGAGCCTCTGGTTGAGAGAGTGAGTAAGGTCTGAAATCCAATCATGCATCAGGCCATGCAGGCTGGTGTAGGACTGCACACCCCTTGAGGAAGGGGGCCTTTTGCTAGTTCATATAAAGGCTGGACATGGGCTAGCAGGGGGCTTACAGGGACTGGCCCCAAACTGGAACCCAGCTTCCTGCCTCAGTCCAGTGCTTGCACCATGCCACCAGGTAGATCCTGGAAAAAGGTCCGTGGCAGGGAGGCATGGGCTCCACCCTATCCCACCCAGCACACCTGAAGGCCCAGGGGCAGGGAAGATGCCAGTCTAGACAGGATACTCTGAGGACCCCCCAGGCCCCTACACTCTTGGTGTCCTTCTGTGCCGGGGGAAGCATTTCTCAGAGTGGCTGTCAGGCCCCCTGTCTCCCCCTTTCTATTCTACCCCCCCTCCCAGGCCCCTGGCAAGTTTCTATCTGGTGGGTCTGCAAGTGACACCCTGGAAACATAGCTTCCCCCTTTCCTCCCCAGCCAAGGGCAAATTGGAGGAGGTGAGAGGCTCTGAGGTTCTCCTCCTAAGGTGTCTCAGTAAATAAGTTGGGGAGTAGGCCCAAAGTGATCAGAAATGACTCAGTGGGCTAAGTGAAGATCAGAGCTCAGTGCACTCAGGACACCTGACAAGAAGGGAAGAAGGAGGGGGAGAGCAGTGACAGGTAAGAGGAAGTTTAGTAACTCAGAGGGCTCCCCTGGACAGCTCATTCCAAGTTTCTGCACACAGCCTGGCAGAATCTGCTCTCCAGGGAGGAAGGGAGAAGCTAACAGGGGGAGGCCCAGTCGATAAACGGCTTCTCAGCTTGGGGCTCCTGAGGGCAGGGAATTCCTTAGAGACCCCAAATCCCATTGGGAAGCCTGTTCCAGTCAGCCCAGCCCTAAGAATTTGTGAAAGAAATGCAAAGAACTGCCTCTCTCTGCAATAAGGCTTTCCAGAGTTTCTCTCCAGGAGTGCTAGGGCATGACAGAGGGCTGGGGCCCTGGCATTGGAGAGACTTGGCTCAGGGAATAACAGTAGTAGTCTTAGTGGGTGTAGGGCTCTGCTGTAAACACTTTATGTATTAATTTATTTAATCCTTACGACTTCACTAGTAACTTATCCAAAGTCACATAGCTAGTTAGCAAGGAAGCCAGGATTTGAGTCCAAGTAGTCTGGCTCTGGAGCTCCATGCTTAACCACCACACCACAGCAGCCGCCAAGCCCAGCTTAGGCCAAGCCCTTCTCGGAACCCCAGTCTCCTCATCTGTAAAATGGGGCCAGTAGCCGGGAGCTCTGAGGATCACAGGACAGATTGCAGGTAAAGTGCCCAGCACAGAGGCAGGTAGTCACTCCCCCTCCAGTCAAGGCACTTCATGGACATTTAGTTTGCCCATGGTCTCCCTGACCGATCCCTCTGCCCCCACACTGTGATCTGTACCCTCAGAGCCCCTGTCAGACTCAGGGCTTGGACAGGGAGACTGTTTGCATCCAGCACACTGAGTGTCAGAGACCAGTGTGCCTGCAGGTTCTAGCTTTCCTTAGGGGGCTGCCCTCTAAGTCAGGCCCTCCCCTCAGCTCCTTGGGCTGGTGGAAAAGAAGGCATTGTCAGGGGGCAGGTCCAGCCAGCTGACCTGGGTGACGGGTGACGCTGTCCCTGATGTGGGGTCAAGGACTGGGGCAGACAGGCGGCTATAATTAAAGCAGCCAGTGATTCAGGCATTCCCTGGAGAGGAGGGCAGGAAAACAGGAAGCCATGGAATTCCCACATCTGATGGGGCAGGGAAGTCTGAGGCTGACAGACACCCGCCCACGTGGGGACAAGACAAACACCTTGATTGGAGGAAAAGAGAAAGGTCAGGGACCGGGGGTCCAGTTCCCCCATCCAACCATGTCCTTATTCCAAACATGAGTTGAACTTGAGAAAGGAGGAGGCAAAACTGAGAAGGGAGGGACCCCACCTCTGTCGAGTACTGACTGTAGGCAATGCATCAGAGGTGGGCTTTGTCACCCTGCACACACCTACACACCCACACACACACATCACAGATGAGGAAGCTGAGGAAGGAGGGTGAAGTCACTGGTCCAAAAACAGCTGGGGGTCCATCTGGCTGCAAAGCCCACAATCTTTCTGTCCTCTCTTTGGAAGGAATATGATGGGATGTTGTTCATCTTCGTGCAAAGCTTCAGTGGGGAGGGGAGTGGGCTGCAGGAAAAAGGTGGTGGTGGGAAAGAGGGAGGTGTGAGTAAGAGGGGCTAGGAGCACAGCCAGTTGGAAGCTGAGATCCTTGGGGGAAAGGGGGAGATGAAGGATCAGAGTGCCAGGGTGAGCAGGCTGCATAATCAGGGGAGGCTTCCTGGAGGAGGTGATGTGGAGCAGAGCCAGGAAGAAGGACAGATGCTGCTGGGAGAGGATGGATGATCATCCGGAGGGAGTGGGAGTGAGAGACTAGGGGTGTCATAGGAGACGTGGGGTTGCATACCACCAAAGGAAGGGCCACTTTTTTCTAATTGACCCGGTTGAGCACCAGCCTTAGACTCATGTTCTCTCCCTCCCTCTGCCTCTCTCTCCCACTCTCTTACTCTCTCTCTCCCACTCTCTCCTCTTTCTTCCTGTCTCTCCTACTTCCTCTCCCTCCTCCTCTCTCTCCCAGGTATGAGGATGAGATCTCCAAGCGCACACACATGGAGTTCACCTTTGTCCACCTGAAGAAGGTAGCTTGCTCAAACTGCCCTCCTTCCTCATGGGCCGTCTGCCCTTTTTCCCTCAGGTCACCTACTTTCCTTTGCTGCTGGGTGTCATCGAGTGGATTCTGACTCATAGCAACACCATGTGACAGAGTAGAACTGCCCCCTAGGGTTTTCTTTGCTGTAATCTTGACAAAAGCAGATTGCCAGGTCTTTCTCCCATGGAGTGGCTGGGTGGGTGCAAACTGCCAACCTCTTGGTTAGTAGCCGACCGCTTAACTGCTGCACCACCAGGGCTCCTTACTTTCCTTTACCCCCAAGCAAAGCCTTCAGAGGCTTGGTTCCCAGACCAACAGACAGACGGAAACAGACAGAGAGATGCATCTGTCCCCACCTTCCTCCTTTCCCCCAGGGTCTGAGCCAGGTCCCTTTTGGGGGTCACTCACACTGTCACATAGGAAGCAAAAAACCTCAACCCTGCTCCCGCCTGGGACCCCTCCATTCCCTCTGAGCTTGCTCACCATGGCTTCCAACACCAGGACCTGGACGCAGAGTGTCTACGACGGACTGACCTGGAAACCAAGTTAAAAGGCCTGCAGAGCTTTGTGGAGCTGATGAAAACCATCTATGAGCAGGTGAGTCAGAGGGGGCGAGGGTCCTGCCCAGCCAAGGGCTGAAGGGTCCGTTGGCAGGGGGTACAGGGGAGGGCAGGGTGTCCAGTAGGGCGTGGGACCTTCAGCAGTCACACTTTCCGGCCACATAGGTAAGAATCTCCTAAACCCCTTCCTGTGCTGATGTCAGTAATCCTACCCTTCACCCCATCACTCATTTACGTGGCAACTCTCCGGGGAGAACCTGTATCTTCAGGTACGCATGGAATGCTGAGGGTGTTCAGGGGACCAGGTGCATCTGGGCAAGGATTGAGAGGCTCGCCACAGAGGCAGGGCCCAGCAGGACTTGAACAACTGTTCTTACTGGACTACCAGTTGCCACTGAGTCTCAGACTCATGGCGACCCCATGTGCGTCAGAGTAGAACTACGCTCCAGGGTTTTCAATGGCTGACTTTTTTGGATATAGAAAGGCAGGCCTTTCTTCTGACGTGCCTCTGGGTAGACTTGAACCGCCAACATAGGAACTCCTTTAGTGAACTAATCTCTCTCTAATCACTGCAGCTGACATCCCAGGCACTCACAGTTCTGGTCCTGGTAGGCATGCATTCACCCTTCCCCACTCAGTCGAGGCAGAGAAGACGTAGCTTCTGAGGGAACAAAAATGGCCCCTTTGCAGGTGAAAGAGGCTCCAGAACACATTCTCAGTTGCCTCCTGAGTCCTCTACTGAGTGTGGTGGACAGTGGCCACTAGGCCTAGTGCACTCTCTGCTATGCAGACACCAGGAGGGGCCCTGCTGCTGAGGGCCGGATGCTGGGTGCCACTTTCTGCTGCATCTGCTACCTCCTGGGCATCCTTCAGGACACCTGTTCTCCTCTCCACATCCTGTTTCCTGGGTGAGGAGGAGTAGGGGTCATGCTCCCAAACTACTGTTATGCTTCCACAAATGCCTTCCATTTAGCTAAGAGCAAGACAGTACCACAGCTGGGGATGGCAGGCCTTGGCAGCCTGTGGGCAAACTGCTGGTGCCAAGCTATGGCAATGCAGCCAGGGTCAGAGTGGAGGTCAGAGTCTCCCCCTCAGTCAAAAAGTTCTGCTAAAATGGCCCTACAGGCTGCTGACCACAGCTCCATGGCCTTGCCTTGTGGAAAGGGAGATTGGGCTTCATGGCTATGCTTAGCCATACTCCTTTCTAGCAGACTCAGCCCCCAGCTGAGGCTTCTGTGGGACTGAGACCTGTTTGTGGCCATGGGACGGAGCAGAGCAGCGAGAATACCACAACCCTTGAGACCAGCGGGAAGGCAGCCCTCCCAGGCAGATCACCCACACTGGTGGCTCTGGAAAGCTTCATGTCCCTGGCCAAGTCCTCCATAGCCAGGTCAAGCCCTGCAGCCCCATAAGAGGCTACCTAGGGTGCCATACCTGTGAATAGAGGTTAGGCACTCCTCTGCCCCAGCTCCCACAGGCTGGTGCAGCCCAGGCTAACATCAAGAACGATGGTTCAGAGTCTGCACTCTGCCCTGCTCACCCACTTCTCAGCAAGCTCAAAGCCCAAGCTCTAAGCCAGGAAGCAGGCCCTGCAGATGGGGTAGTGTAACTGAAGAAGGCTGGGCATAGCCAGCGATATACCTGGGCATTGCCAGAAGCTCACCCACAGAACTTCTTGGCCTCATTAGCAAGGGAAGGGCTGCTGACTCCATTTGGACTTTGCAGCCCTTAGGCCCAGATCCTGCCCCTGCCTTTTACTGTTCTTGTGACCGTGGGCAAGTTTTCACCTCTCTGTGCCTCAGTCTCCTCATCTATAAAATGGCGAAAGTAATAGTACCCTCCCTGTAGGGTTGTGATAGTACGCACCTTTTAGGGTTGCCTAAATCCATTCATTCATTTGACGAATGTGTATTGTGTGCCTACTATGTGCTGGGCACTTGTCCATTATAACAGCAATAATGGACAAAGTCCCTGCTTAGAGGAGAAGAGATGGGGAATAAGGAAGTAAACAAATACCGAACAAGATCATTTCAGAAGGTGGTAAGTGCTGATGACTTACCAGGTGACTCAATAGTGCCAGAAGGAAAGGAGAGCTTCAGATCTCCTAGTCAGGGAGGCCTCTCAGAGGAGGTGCCAGTGAGCCGAGGCCCAAAAATGGGGAAGAGCCAGCCCTGTGGAGATTTGGGGAGAAGGCACCCCAGGCAGAGGGGAGAGCTGAGCAAAGCCCTAAGGCAGGAGTGAGCTTGTGATTGAAGGACAAGAAAGAAGCAGTTGTGGCTGAAGCTGAGAGGGCCAGGCAGGGAGTCCTAGGAGAGGAGGTCAGAGAGCCTGGCAGGGGTCAGGCCGTGTGGGGCCTGAGGCCCCGATAAGCAGTTTGGACCTTTTTCTAAGTGCAATGGACAACCAACCACTGGTGGGTACTGGGGAGGAGTAGATATGGTTTGTGCTTTTGTAAGACTGCTGTGCCGAAGGGACTGTAGTGAATGTAGTAGGTGCTCAGTACATTTTAACAGTTATCGCTTTGGGAAGCAGCAAGGTGGTGAGTTGGCGTTTGTGTTCCTCTCTATGTATCAGTTCAGGCTGAGAAGGCAACAATGACCCTTTGCTAAAAAGGCTGCCCCGTTTGTGGGTCTCTAAGCCTGCACCATCTAATAGAAATACAATGCAAGCCACATACGTGATTTTTAATTTTCTGGTACTATCACCACTACCAGTTGCCGTAGAGTCAGTTTCAACTCATGGTGACCCCACATATGTCAGAACAGAGCTGTGTCTATGGGGTTTTCAATGGCTGATTTTTTAGAAGTAGATCTCCAGGCTTTTCTTTGGAGGCACCTCTGTATAGACTCAAATTCAACCTCTCAGTTAGCAGAGGAGCACATTGACCATTTGCACCACCCAGGGACCAATTTTCTAGTAGCCACATTTAGGAAAAGAAAAGAAAGAGATAAAATTAATTGTAGTAATATATCTTAAGTAATTCAATATATCCAAAATATGATGGTTTCAACATCAGTCAATATAAAAAAAATTAATGGGCTATTTTACATTATTTTCTCCTACTAAGTCTTCGAAATATGGTGTGTATTTTACACTTACAGCTCATCTCAATTCATACTAGCCACATTTCAAGTGCTCAATAGCCACACACAGCTGTTGTCATTGTTGGGTGCCATTGAGTTGATTCCCACTCATAGCAACCCCATGTGTGCAGAGTAGAACTGCTTCATAGGGTTTTCTTGGCTGTAATCTTTACAGGAGCAGATTAGCAGGTCTTTCTCCCACAGAGCCACTGGGTGGGTTCGAACAGCCAACCTTTCAGTCAGCAGTCGAGTAGTGGCTACTATGTCGGACAGGGCAGTTCCAAGTAAAGAAGGTGCCAGCCATGGCTGCCGTAGGTAGAAGACACATAAGTGCTCTAGTTTCAATTTTGGAACAGGCACCAGATCAAAAAGCATCGCTGTACAGGCCCACCCTTGCATCCCAGTAAACAGCCCCCCCCCCCAACACACACACACATCCCTGGGCCTCCCCAGAGCCCACGAACACCTCTGGATAAATGAGGGCCAGGACGAGTTCTGCAAAGCCCCTCCTCAACCAGCTGAGCAGGAACTTGTGAACATGGGGGCTGCTCAGGGCCTCATCTCCACCCACTGGAGATCATTCACGTCTCATGGCCATCACAGGGCTTCATGACTGACAGCCCTCCAGGGACACAAGGCTGGGGCAAGGACACTAGCCGGGCAGAGGCTCACGTTCCCCCTCAGCGTCCAAGGGGCATTCCAGCTCCCAAGTGCATTTGGGGCCTGGCTGCATCCAGCCGGAATGCTGCCTGCCCCACCCATAAACTCTGGTTCCTGGGAGATTAGCTGGGAATCTGCTGACAATCCCCGCGGCCAGGCGCACCACAGGGTGCCGAGCCCTGCAGAGAAACTGACGATGGCGCCTGCCCTTGAGGGGTCTTGAGGAGGCTGCTCCAGGAATAGGCTGCTCGGCCTCTGGACACTCCATCCCAGCTTCATCACCTTTACCAATCACAACAATACCATCCTCAGTGCCTGTTTATTCAGTACCTACTGGGTTCCAAGAACTCTGCTAAATGCTTTCCATACGTAATCTCATTTAATCCTCACAACAACTCTATGAAGTAGGCAGTTTGGCACAGATTTTAAGAGACTTTTTAAGAGAGCATAGACTTTAGAGCAGCTTGGCTTATGTGAATTTGACCAGCTTATTTTAATCTCTCTATGCCTTGATTTCTCCATCTATAAAATGGGGAGAATACTAGTGCCTACCTCATTGGGCTGTTGTGAGGATTAATTTTGTTCATACATCCTAAAGCACTTAGAACCATATCTGGCACATGGTAAGCATTTAATAAATGTTAGCTGTGTTTAGTTCTCTAATTATACTCAGTTCTGTAATTATGAGAAAATTAAGGCTCAGAGAGGTTTAAAAACTTGCCTGGGCTGCCCAGCCAATAAGAGGTGGTGGTATGCAGAGTTGTGTGCCTTTAAACACTACATTTTACTGACCAGCACTAAATCACCCCCTGGAGTCACCTTCTGCCCTGACCTGGGACCTCAGTGAGGGTGGCCACAACACACACAGCACCTCCTCAGACTCTGGCTCTGAAGGAAACCCTAAATTGTTCCTCAGCTTCATTCTTGCCAATTTGGAGACACATGTCCTCTCTAGGGGCCTTTCTCATGGTGGCACCTCCATACCACACAGGTGAGCATTGTTGTACCCTCTGCAGCCCTGAGGGGCCAGCATGTCTGAACATGTCTGTGGATGTTCTGAACCCTCCATTTCCTGTGCTTATTTACCAAGCTCCTGCTTACTCTGCCTCTTTCCAGGAAGGATGGGAGACTGCTGTATCAGCTTATTTTGCCAATCCTGCCGGTCCTGGTGGGCGGAAGCCCTCTCCCCCGCTGCAGTGTGTCCCCACAGTGCCCTGGCCGTTTCCTGGGTGGTTTGTAGTTGTTAACTGTCATCAGGTCAGCCCCCAACTTACGGCAAACCCGTGCACAACAGGATCGGACCGTTGTGATCCATAGGGTTTTCATTGGCTGGTTCTCAGAAGTAGATCGCCCAGCCTTTCTTCCTAGTCTGTCTTAGTCTGGAAGCTCCGCTGAAACCTGTTAAGCATCATAGCAACTTGTAAGCCCCCACTGACAGGTGGTGCTGTGCTTGAGGTGCATCGGCCGGGCAGTAACAAATGTTAAATCAGGCCTAGGCTAAGAGTGCCACTGGAGGGCTCTATCCAGAATTCCCCATGCCCACTAATCCTAAAGCTGCAGCTCTTGTCCACAGCCAAGCCCTGACAAGGGTATTGGTTCCACGTGGGAAATGTTAGTCTCGGATGGTGACCAGTGGCTGAGGGTTGGGGTGTGAGTCTGCAGTAACCACCAACCTTATTCTGGCATGGGTTGGGCCCTCAGCCTGTGTCTGCACAGGGATCTCTGTGAAGTTCATTTGAAGATCAACCCCTCAACCAGAGACCCCACGAGAGCAGCTGGCCGGCTCAGCAGCCACTGAGTCCAGGCTCTTGCAGATCGAGGGCAGAGGCAGGGTGCCCCCACAGGGGTTGCGGAGTGCCTGCGACTGCCCAACTTCCTTTTACAGGAGCCTGTCCTTATCCCCAAGAGATGCTGGGAGTGGAGTGGGCAGGCAAGCAGACTGGCGAAGGGCAGCCTTACTCAGCAGGCCTCCGTGGCGGCCCATGCAGCTCTGGCTGACCACCCTCATCCCTGTAGTCTACAGTTCCAGAGCAGTTCAGAAGTACCAGCCTCTGCCAGCCCCAGAAACCAGGGACTCAGCCACAGCCTTTCTGAGCATAAAGATGGGCAAGGGTCAGGAGGGAGCCTGAAGTCAGGAGCCAGGGGTCAGAACTACATCATGAGCCAGAACATTGCATCTGGGTCTGAGCAGGACCTCACATCCAATGGGCAGGTGTCAGGAGATACAGGGGACAGAGGAGCATGTTAAACACCAGCATGGGGTACAATCAGCAAAACCCAGACTGTGGAAACTCCACAAGGCAAGCAACCTGGTTCTTCCAATAAGAAAAAATTGCAAGGAAATAAAAGAGAGAAGGAGAAAGAAACAGAGGAGGTTTCTATAGATTGGAATCCCTGGGTAGCACAAACGGTAAAGACTATTAACTGAAAGATTGGCAGTTCAAACCCACCTAGAGGTGCTGCAGAAGAAGGGCCTAGCAATCTGCTTTCAAAATGTCACAGCCTTGAGAACCCTATGGAACAGTTCTACTCTGCACACATGAGGTTTCCATGATTCAGAATTGACTTGATGGTTTGGATTTTTTTTTTTTTAATCTATAGATTAAAAGAAACGTAGAGACATATAGACCAATTGCAATGTATAAACTTTGTTTGGAACCTGATTCAAACAAGTGGAAAAAAATTGAGGCAATCAGGGAAATAGGGACACCAACTGAAGTTTGATTGAAATAAAGGTCAAGGGTGGACTGTGAATGCCACCAGGAGTTCCATCTAGCCCAGGCCACGTGTCCTCCTTCATCAGTGGGAGCCTCACTTCTTGCATACTGGTCCCTGAGCCCCACCCACCTCCTGCCGGGCCCCCTCCCGGCCTCTCAGAGTCTCTCTGCCAGGCCAGGCCAGTGACTCACCTTTGCACCATGCTGGCTGAGGAAGCTCTGTTTGCTCCCCTCTGGCTCCTCCCTCCTGAAGGAGGCCCCGCCCAGGACTGGCGGCAGTTGTTCCTCAGCCTCCAGGGAAGCAGCCCAGGGCCCAAGAGGCACACATATGAAGACCCCTGTTCCCACCTGCTTCTACACACCCCTGAGCATGCTGGCCGGGAAGATGTCAGGCTGCAGGCGGGGCATGGTAGGAAGCAGGTCTGGGACTAGAAAAACAAGAAGTCTTCAGCTTCTTGTCCCCGCCTTCTGAGGTTTATCAGAGGTGGGGAAGGGCTAGAGCTCCGGGGTCTGGTTCTGCACTCACTGTTGGTCCCATAACCTCTTTGTGCCTCAGTTTCCCTCTGTAACTTGGGGCTAATGAGGGTACCAGCCTCATGAGGATTAAACATGAGGACGCATGGAGAGCACTTAGCACACAACCTGGTGTGGAGGGAGCATCTCCAGGTGTCTCTGGGGTTATGGGTTGGCATTTTCTAAGCAGCAACGAGACAGAGGAGGGAAGGCAAGGGAAGGGAGGAAAAGATGAAAATTTTGTGTCTAAATTCTGTTGTTGTTGCCTACAAGCCCATCAGCTAGAGAGGGAATGGGGGGTAACTCTCCGAATAACCCTTAAGTCTGAGTATCAGAGGCATGGTCTTACCCTGAGCAGCCTGTACCCCTTTTCAATGAGGTAGGGAGTCGGGGTGCATGTCTGTCGGCCTCTAGCCATCCCCCTGCTCCTCATCACTTATGGACTTCCATTCCAACACCCATTTGACAAACTGAGACGTGCCTCTGTGCCCTGTGAAGATAAAAAAGGCTCTGCCAGCCCATGGGAGCTCATGTCCCTGGAGAGGCAGAGCTTCACAACACAGAGCTGTAACAGCGGAACTGTAAGCAAGGGGCCTGATGCTCCTCAGGCCCTGGGCTTTGTCCCACCAGCCAGGAGGAGGGTGTCCCACCCTGGAGTGGGCAACAGTGCAGACAGTGGGGGCACTGGAGGGAATACAGATGGTAAGGTGGGTCCCTGGAGCCAAGCATCTCTCCCTACCCAGAGAGGGAGGACAACAAGGGGTGAGCAGGGGTGGTGACCTGCTTCCCACAAGCCCAAGCTGAGGAGCTGTGGTGGGGAGACATTAATCCTTCATCTCTCCAGGGAGACAGGAAGGGAGAATCTCCACTCTCTGCTCCATCTCCTGGAGGTGAAGGGACTGGGGGTGGCAGAGGATCCTCGTGCCCTCCCCCAGCCCTAAACCACCCACATCTGTGCCCGGCCAGGAGCTGAAGGACATGGCGGCCCAAGTGAAGGACGTGTCAGTGACTGTGGGCATGGATAGCCGCTGCCACATCAACCTGAGTGGCATCGTGGAGGAGGTGAAGGCCCAGTATGATGCCATTGTGGCGCGCAGCCTGGAGGAGGCCAAGGCATACTCCCAGAGCCAGGTGCGGCAGGCAGACCCGCAGGCCAGGAGGGCAGCAGGACCCTCGGGCCGGGAGGGCAGCAGGACAGTGCTCTCTGGGCCCAAGAGGGGCTGGACTGTGATGGCTGAGGTCTCTGGCAGCATTGTGTCCTGAGACTCTCTGACAGGATGGGGAAGACAGGGAAGGTGAGCCTGGGAGGCCACTGCAGGCAGCTCACAGCAGGTATGGAGGTGAGAGCCCAGAGCCCATTTGTGCTCAGGCCCAAGGGGTGGTCGGGAGGGAAGCCCACAGTCTGTGGCCTCCAGGAGCTCAGGATGGTGCTGCTGCCCAGCAATGTCAGATCACGTGTGGGTACAGCCCACGGGGCTCAGTTCAGGGCAGCCAGGAGGGGCCATCAGAGTTGGGTGTTGGGGGCAGGAGAGGAGAAAGGGAAGCTGGTGCCAGAGGGGGCCCACAGGGATGGAAATGGGGCAATGGGAAGGGGACAATGAGAGGACAAAGAGCAGCGAGGGGCAAGGGGTGCTAGGAGGGACACTCATGGTGACCCCTCCTCGATCCTCCCTCTCCCAGCTGGAGGAGCAAGCTGCCCGCTCAGCCGAATTCGGGACCAGCCTGCAGAGCAGCTGCAGAGAGATTGCAGACCTCAATGTGCACATCCAGAAGCTCCGATCACAGATCCTCTCCATCAAGAGCCATGTGCGTGTCCAGAGGACCTACCTGGGGTGGGCAGGAAGGAGCGCACTCACACACCACGCATGCTGAGTACAGGCATGACCTGACTGAGTGACCCTGGGCATGTCCTTAGCACCTCTGTGCCTCAGTTTCCTCACCTGTCAGATGGGATAGTAGCACAGCCTCCTACAATGGTTATGAGGAGCACACAAGCTTTGCATGTAAAAGTGCTCTGTAAACTGGCCAGGGTTGTTAGCCTATTAGAGCCCCCACCCCACACACACACACACACCCCTCACATGCCCGGAGCCCACCACCTCCCTCCCAGACATCCTGCCAACTATATGGAGAGAAGGAAGTGGAGGCCTACGTCCCAGGCTCCAGCTAGGACAAGCAATTGCTGCTCTAATGTAGGGAAGATGGGTCAGGATCCTTGGGCGACTTGTGGTGTTTCCCTCTGGCCTTAGGAAAGTGTCTCCTTAGGTCTAACTGAACTCCCTTGTGCCTCGTGTACAACGTAGGAATGCCATTGTTCAGCCCTCCCTCCCACCTATACACCCAGCAAGGCCCCAGGTGAGCTCCTGGCCATGGCCCACTCTCTCCCTCCCACCCACTCCCCTTACTGGTCCTTTCCCCGTCATTCTGGCTGCAGTGCCTGAAATTGGAGGAGAACATCAAGGTGGCAGAGGAGCAGGGTGAGCTGGTCTCCCAGGACGCCAAGGACAAGCTGGCCCAGCTGGAGAAGGCCCTGCAGCAGGCCAAGAAGGACATGGCACAGCAGCTGTGCGAGTACCAGGAGCTCATGAACACCAAGCTGGCCCTGGACGTTGAGATCGCCACCTACCGCAAGCTGGTAGAGGGCGAAGAGAGCAGGTAAGGGGCCAGAAGAGAGGGAGGGCTGGGGGACCAGCCCCACACAAAGTTAGCCTTCCCTCCAGCATGGCCAACTGAGCCTGGCAGGCCTGGGTTCAACTTCCAGCTCAGCCACTTACAAATAGGGGCCCTTGGCCCAGTTAATTAAATTCTCAGTTTCCCCATCTGGAAAATGGGCTGATAGTAAATGTGGCCCACCTCACACAGGGGTAGGGAGGATTAATGCGATTATACATGTGAATGGCTACCACAAATAAGTGCTCAATAAATGTTAGCTGGAGTCCCTGGGTGGTGCAAAGGGTTAATGCACTCAGCTGCTACCCAAAAGGTTGTCGGTCCACCCAGAGGCACCTCAGAAGAAAGGTCTGTCAATCTACTTCCAAAATATCAGCTATTGAAAACCCTATGGAGCACATTTCTACTCTGACATACATGGGGTCTCCTTGAGTCAGAATCAATTCCATGGCAATTGGTTTAAATGTCAGTATTTATACAGGGGAGAGGGGGCAGAGACCCAGAGAGGACAAGCTGGCTAGCCAGAGTCACATAGCAGGACAACCGCAGGGCTGGGAATTGCCCTCCACCTGCCAGGTCCCAGGCCTCCAATCTCAGGGGAGCTTAAACCACAGTTTCCCTCACATCCCGCCATGCGCCCTCCCCCAGGATGGAGCTGCCCTCGGCCTCCACCGTGGTCAGCGCTGTGCAGTCCCGATGCAGAACCGGTGAGTCTACCTGCCCCGAGAGCCCATGGCAGGGAGGGAACAGGGTACAAGGGGATCATGACGCTAAGACATCATTTTAAGCAGCTTCCAAATCTCCAGCCCCTCCCCTGTCCCATCCCTTATTTCCCCTGTAGCTGCCTCCAAGTCAGTCCCCTCCAAGGCCCCCTTCCAGAAGAAGAAGAACACCAAAAGCCGCGTGATCAAATTCACGGAAATATCAGAGAAGTTCCTCTCCCAGGAGTCGGAGGTCTCGGAGTAAGGCAGCTGGACCCCAGGAGCCCCAGGTCACTCCTACTGCAGCAGGAGAGACTTAATCTAGACTCAAGAAAGCAGCTGGGAGCCTCTGGGTTGGGAAGGGAGGCAAAACCTGATACTGACCTGAGAAGAGGAGGAGGGTTCAACAGGGACCACTTTTCCGTGGGTGCTGGGGGTGGGAGCTGCTCAGATCTGCTCCACATTAACATCTCACAGTCTCACCCTTCCAACCTTCTGGCCAGAGGATTTCCAGGCTGAGAAACTAGAATTTGGGGTCAGTTTTGTCTCCACCTCCTCCCTCCTCTCAGGCTCCTCCCCCAACAGAGGGCTCTAAACAAGGTCCCTTTGACTCTTGCCCAGCCCTTGCCCTGAGCTCACATCTCAAGTCTTGCCTTGCCGGTGCCCTCACTCGCCCAGCCCGGTTCTAGCTATGGACTGGGGGCTGATGAGGACTGCAGAGGTACTCCCACCCTATACCTGGACTTCCTGGGGAGGCTGGGTGCTGAGTACCCCCTGGCTTTCCTGTACCTCTTGGGCCCCCCAGATACTGACAGTATTAGGGAGTGAGGGGAGGAGGGTCCTGGGTGTTGGGACCTGAGCCTGGACCTCTGAGATCAACTCAGACACCTCTCTACCCCCCGCCCCCTGTGGGTCCCTTCCAGTAGGTCATATTCAGAACTGGACCGGCTGCATATGGGGGCATCACACCAAGCCAGCTCCCAACACCTTCTCCAGAAGCTATTCTTGCCATGATCAACTCCCTGAGGCAGCTTGGGATAAGGCAGGAGAATTAGACCGTCCCTTCACCTCCCTGCCATCCCTGGGTTCACCACCCATGCTGGGACCTGAGCTCTCTGTCCTCAGCCCAGGCCCTTCCCAGCCTGAACACCTGGCTTTGGAGCACCAGGTCCTGAAAACTCCTAGCCCCACCCCTGCCATGAAGCCTCAGCCCCATTTCTCATGAATCCCACCTCTCAGGGCCCCTGTCCTCCTCTCCATCAGCCAGACAGCCCAGCCTTCCCTCCTTTACATTCACTGAGGACCCAGGAACACCCCATACCTCTGGAGTCATAGCTCCTTTTCTAGGGGTGTCCTGCCCTTGATCCCTCTCCCCTTTCCTCCCCCCATGTTTCTGGTGGGCCCATGAAGAAGGCACAGTCCAGGCAGGTCTGGGAGCTTCTGAGCCCTTGAGGTCAGGCTGGGGAGCCCTAATGACAGCCTTAAAAGCGCTCAACCAAAGAGAAAAATTTTGCATCCAATGAGAAGATTTGGGATTAAAGTAGGAGTGCTCCTATTTCCTCCTCTGTGCTTTCACCTTTGGGGTTAGCTGGGGGATCCTAGCAGCTCTAGCCTCACTGCATAGCCCACTTCTCTCCTTCCCTCTCTTCTCCCCTGTTGTCCCCATACCCTCACCTCCTTTTCCAGCCCCAGTCTTTGATTCATTCATCTCATTTTCCAGGACATGGCAGCTCAAGGCCTTGGCTCCTCCCAGGCCTCAAGGCCCTCCAGGCCTATAGGGGGCACTAAAGGGCTACCACCTTTCAGTCTGAAGGGAACCCAGACATATATACTCATCCCAAAAGAGGGTGTTAACTGCTGCTTTTTCTCGGGCTATTTATTGGTTTCCAAGGGAGCAAATCCTCAGTAGGGATAAAGATATATAAAGTATATATATTATTTTTGCATAACTTATGTGGCTTTTAACTTATTGCTTCCCTTCTTGTTTCTGCATAATCAGTGCTGTATATACTATCTTTCTGGATAGATAGCATATATTCCACCACCCCATCTGATTGGCTGACTATCTTGGGGCAATGCCCCCTTCTCCCTGCCAAGGGATGAATAAAGTGCTGAGATTTGTCCATGGATAGAACTATGTGTTTGTCTTTATCTTCCCTCTTGGGATCGGTCAGTCACTGGTCAATTGTGTCGACCACAGGACTTTGGGAATTCTCCAATTATGGGAAAAGGGGTCTAGGGACCTAGTTATACCTTAAGACCAATACAACTTGGACACAAAAGTCTCCTGCCTCGCCATCCTACAAGAAGACTGTACCAGCATTGGCCTTTGTTCCCAGTGCTTCCTGACATGTACAGGCACCACGTGGGCTACCTTATCAGGCACATACGTGGAGGATCCCCCAAGTGGTGGCAGGTTCCTTCTCAAATACTTCTGCCTGCCCGTGGGGGTTGGCACAGCTCAGAATATATTCTGATGGGTGGGTACAGGCCTAATCCTACCAAGTCAAATTCTAGTTCAACAAATAAGGACTAAGGACGTTCTCCAAGCCCAGCCCTGTGCTATGATGCCTACGATTGCTCTCCACCCCTCTGCCACAAGAAGCTTACAGTCAGGTTGGAGAGACGAGATAACCATTCAAGACAGCCATCCTAGACTTCCTAGCCAAGTGCAGAAATGGGTGCTACTGAAGATCAGAGAAGAAAGAGGCTTGAAGAGTGGAATCAGAGCAGACTGCTTGGAGGAAGCTAGACTTCACGTGATCGTGAAGGAGCTAGATAAACCAAACGAAGAACATATATGTCAAGAAAAGGAATTGAGGGGTGGAGGGATGGGTGTTCAAGCAGATGACCTGGGTTGGTGTCCTGGCTCACCCACCTACCGGCAATGAGACCTGGGCAAATGGAGCCTCGGTTTCCTCATCTGTAAAATGGAGTAACACCTCACAGGGCGTTGGAGATCTGATGAGATATCTGTGTTCATTCCCATCAGGAATGCCACATCTCTTGCTTCCGGCACTCTGAACTGTAACAGCTCAACAACTGTGAAGGATTATTAGCAATGTCATTACTGTTATTACAGCAGATGTCAAGGATTAAAGACGACTGACTAGTTGGAAGACCCAGAGACCAATGGCCTGAGGGCTGGCGCCGTCAGGGTGCCACAGAGCCAGGGCCCTCGGCTATGAGTTCAGAGACGGAGTTTATTCCTTCTCCTGAGGACACTGAGGACACTCAGGAGAGACTGACAGATAAACCACATACCCATCCAGAAAAGACCTAGAGCTGAGGCCAGCTCTCTCTTGATTATATCTTTGTTTTGTATTTTATTTATCTTGGCCCGTGTATTTGTTATTCTCTTCCTTCTACTTCCTTTGCGTTTATCGTTTTACCCGTTTCCAACTTCTTGAGCTGAATGTGTAGATCATTAACTTTCCGTTCTTTTTTCTTTTCTAATTGGAGACTCTGAAGACTGTAAATTTCCCTCTAAATACCATTTTGATGGCACCCCATTGTTTTCATATGTAGCATTTTTATTATTGTTTAGTTGAAAGGATTTTATTCTTTGACTCGTAAGTTCTTTAGCAATGTTCACACACAGAGATCCTTCATTTCGCATTTACTTATCTCAGTCTGTGCCTGGCCCTGCTCTGGATACTCAGGCGGATATTAAATTTATCCATTTGTCTCTGCATCCTTGATTCCTTAATCCTCAAGCAATGCTTCGACTGCTTCAAGTACTACTTTTGTGCCTCTTATCCCAGAAGATTCTAGATTCCTCGAGGGCAGGGATTGTGTCCTACTGTATCCCAGGGCCTTTCACAGTTCCTGACCCATAAAAGGTGTTCAATAAATGTAGAACAAAGGAACAAACGAATGAATAGATGAACAAATGATGTACCTCCCCAACCAAGGTCTCCCAGCCTAAAAGTCCCCAGAAGGTGAGGGCGTGTCTCGTCAACTCTGTATCCCCCGTACTAATGTAGTGCCTGACTCGTGGAAGGAGTGCAGTAGGGTGTGTAGAACAAATGAATGAATGAACTAATGAAAACAGTGATTTTCCTCCCTAAACAAGGAAACTCTCCTGCTTATTGTTATGGGCCATGGAGTTGATTCTGACTCATAGTAGCCTTATAGGACAGAGTAGAATCGCCCCATAGAGTTTCCCAGGCTGTAATCTTTACAGGAAAAGATCACCAGGTCTTTTCTCCCGCAGACAGACTGGAAGGTTCAAACCTCCAAGCTTTCAGTTAGCAGCTGAGCTCTTCACCACTGCGCC